CTTCTAACAGCATTCATCCATTTGCAAAAGGGATCCACATAATTTCTATAAAATTGGGCACAAAAAAATGTAACTCTAAGAAGAAGACAATAAGTACTTGTTCTTCCGCAACCCAGGAATTATTATAATGCCTCATATCCCTCAAGAATTTATGCATCCATAGAGCCTCATGTTCAACTGTTTTCTTTATTTTCTTTTTCTTTTTTTTTTTCAAATGGGATAATAGTGTGTCCATAGTTTCATCACCTGCTTTTTCCTCTTATAACTCAGAGTGAACATTTCCCCATGTCATTAAATATTCAACCACTTCATCGCTGGTGACGCTGCCTAGCAGCCACTCTGGGGATGCATTACCCCGTATGAACCATGACTGGATGGTGGATGTAGAGGCTGTTAGGGAGCCCCTCGAGCTTCAGGAATCATTTCTCAAGTCCCCACATGATAATGACCTTCTTTTCAGTGTCCACTCTTTGAGGAAATATATCATGACTAACACAGAGTTCAAAACCAAGTAAAACCAAACACTATGTCTTTTAGATGTACATACCCGTGAGAAAACTGAAAAAAAAAAAATATGAGCCAGAGAATGACAAATGCAATAGTCAAGGGAATGTTTCCTCTGGGGAAGGAGAATAGAAATAAATACATAAGTGACTAGTAATGATGTAGTTTCCAATTGGGTGGTAGGTTTATTATATTGTCTACTACATACAATAAAAAGATTAAATAAAATAAAGACTAAAAAATAAAGTTAAGCCATGCATGGGCTAATGCACGGGCTAATAATGACAAAGGGTCATGAAACTATGATCAATTCAATTGTATGCCCCTGAAAAAGGAAACACATGCATAATCACAAGAGCGATTATGACTTCAGGCAGGCTTTAAATAGATTATTTCTATTTTATTCATCACAGAGGCATCTACATATATTTGAAAAATATTAGGGCATATATTATGAGGCATATTATTTATCCCATCCATAGACAATATAAAAATCCAAATGGACTATTTATTTATTTATTATTTTTTGTAGAGATGGGGATCTCACTGTGTTGCCCAGGCTGGTCTTGAATTCCTGGACTCAAGCAATCTGCCTTCCTTGGCTTCCCCAAGTGCTGAGATTATAAGTGTGAGCCACCGCACTTGGCCAAGAATCCGAATGGATTCAAAGATACCTTGAAATAATTCCTCAATGCAACACACACACATATACAAGGGTTGGTCAAATGGGAAGACAGCCGTGGCCTGAAGACAGGGTCCTGGGCTTTCCTCAGCTCTTCTGCCAAGGTATCTGTTCTTTCTTAGTGATTCACTGGGCTGAAGCCTAGAGCATTCCAATGGGTGCTGCGGATGGGTTAGTGAACAGGACCAGCCCTGCCCTTGGGGAGGCATGGGCTGGTAGATGAGATAATGAACAAAAAGCAACCTGGATGTGACATAGGCCCAGCACCCAGCAGATGGGGTCACCAAAGAGCTGCGTGTCTGAAGGATGAGTGTGGAGCTGTAAGGCCATTTCCAGTACAGGAACACAAACAAGGAACAGATAGCGAATGGTTCCTGGTAGTGACATATTGTTCTGGAGGGTCTTTCAAATGAAGTAGGAGGGTGAGGATGGGGAACAATGATCATGAAGAACCTTCTTTGCAATACCAAAGATGGTTCCCAGGAATGACACATTGTTCTGGAGGGCCTTTCAAATCGAGCAGGAGGATGAGGATGAGGGATAGATGATCATGAAGGACCTTCTTTGCAATACCAAAGAGGTGGTCTCCATCTCAAGGGCAACGGGGTGGGGGCACTCCTATGAGGCAGAGTGACAGGATCATAATTATAAAACATCGTTTCATCTGCCATGAGGAGACAGGGAGCCCATTTGGGCTGCTGCAGAGATGAGGATGGCCTGGGAGAAGCAGGGGAGGGAAACCTCTTTTCCTTGTCTGAGAATCCTATTGTCCATTTGTAAAACAAGAATGTGGGACTGGATGTCACTGAGGGTCCTTTCTGTCCCCACAGCTTAGTCCCATGGTTTGACATGAAGACACCAGGCCACTTCCTCTGTCCTGCAGTGGAGTAGGATAGGGTGAGGAGGGGGTGCCTGGCCTGGGACCCCTGTCTCCAGTGCTACAGGGCAAGAGTGAGGCACCTTCAGGCCCCTCTGGAACCTCTGCGCCCTCAGCAACCCCATCGTAATTCCCAGGAAACACTACGACTCTTCCAGCTGTGCCTGAATAGACTCCCTGTCTATGCAGTCTAATCAAGGACAGTCCCTTAGAGAAGCAAAGATGCATCCTGTGCCTTTAAATCCTGTTTTCCAGCTGACATTTGAGTGGTAGGGGATGAATGAGAGAGAGAATGTGTGTTTATGGTGAAGATGCATAACTGTGGTTCTGTGTGCGATTCTGTTGTGCCTACATGCCTGTTTGACGCCACGTAGTAGGCTTTGCAAGTGTGTCTGAGCTGGCCTGGAACTGTCCACTGCCGCTACAACTGACATCAGAGGTGGGTCATGGGATGGGATACAGGGCACCAGAGGCACCTGCCTTACCCTGCTGCTTATGGTACACAAGGGTCTTCCCGAGCACCTGTCACACTTCCCTGAACCTATTTGCCAACATGTCCCCAGTAGCTTGGGGAGACACAAACTGTTCCAAATACTTATCCCCTAATGCCTGGCCTCCAGCTGGGATGGGGCTGGCCTGCAGCCCGGGGAACCCATCACTATCCCAAAGCCTCTAATCTACCTCTGCTTCTTTAGTTAGCAAAAAGGCCCCTGTCTTTGTTTGTTTGTACTTGGATTTAGTAAAATTGAGGGAAGTTTGGGGCTTTTCCCAATTTCCTCCTCATTTACCTATTTGCAGACACTAAAGTGAGCTGTAAAATCAATTTGTTCCCAAACTGCTACCTTTTCTAGTTTTTCCTGTGTCACATCTAGAATGACAACTGTGCCTATAATAATATCCATGAAGTAATGGCCCCACATCCAGGGGACCTTGGGTCTGTGGGTCTGTGCTCAGACCCCAACTGCGCATTCAGGATGCAGAACAGCCTTTGACTCTGCCGCTGAAATGGTTACTTCCCAGAGGAATCTTTGGTATGTGAGATCTCCCAGTTAAGAGCGATCCCGTTCACCCAGGCCAACCATCTGTTATGAGCTTTCCCAGTTAAGAGCGATCCAGTTCACCCAGGCCAACCCTCCGTTCTGCAGAAATCCACATGAGATGAGAAGTCCCTGGCCTCTGGTCATTGGGAGCACACCACCTGTGGACATAGCTGCATCTCAGGAGGTGGTGCACTTTAGGCACCACCCAGGCGGTGGCTCCAGTAACAAACAAGGTTAACAACTTAAGCTTGGCTTAGGATTTCTCCCTTCCTCTGTGCTGCACTGTGCTGTGTAAAGGGCAGTCCCCTGTATATGAGGGACACTATTTCCCTGTGAATACATGGGCTCACCTGGCCAGCCATACTCTGGCCTGTGTGGGATCCTAGGTAACAGGGCTCAGTCTAGGAATGGAGGGTAGGACTCTGCCGAGGTCCTCCCCTGCTCCTGGCACTGGATAATATGAAGACCAAGGAAATTCTACCTCTGTAGCTGCCCAGAGCTGAGCATGAGCTCTCACTGTCCATTCAGGAGGCAGAGGATAGACCTGGCTGACTGCTCAGCACCTTGTACCTGCCAGTCAGCAGGCCCTGGAGAGATTCCAGGGCTCAGCCCTGGTCTTAGTGTGGCCTCGCTCGCTCTGCCTGGGCAGTGACAGAACCATTAATATGGAGGCTGGTGAGAGCAGAGCACACAAAAGCAGCCTGCCTGCCGCTTCGCCTCTCTTTGCCCAGGGCATGGTGCTGGTTCATGGTGGATTCAGCCTCTCCTAGCAGCTTAGGTTTATGTGGAGCATGGCAGGGGAACAGGACTCATTCCTGAGACTGGGTTCCAGCTCTCCCTGCCCTCTAAAGATGGAAACACACAACACACATGTATGTATTCCCCAGTCTCTCCATCTCATAACCCAGAACCAGAGAGTCTCAGAGCTGAGAGGGGCCTCGGGGAAGATTTCACTGATGGAGAAAGCCCCAGAAGAGAGGGCAAGAGTCCTGCCTGGGGTACCATGGCAGAGAGAGCAGAGTCAGAAGCTGGACCAAAACGCAGCCTGAGTGGAAGCATGCCTTACTCCAGGCCCTGCTGCCCCAGCCAGATGCCCCACTCAGCAGGCAGACACAGCAGGCCTGCCCTGGGCACTCTGAGGGTGCAGCCACAGCAGAACCCCAAGGAGGCAGTCTGGGGTTGGGGGACGTGAGCAAGTTCCCTGGGAAAGTTTCCAGCTCCTCCACACCTGCTGTGGGGCCTAATTCTCCCGGCCCCTGCCCGTTCCTGGTGTGGAAACCAGGGTCAGGTGAGGCCCTGCCCAAGCCTGGAGGAAGAGAGACACATTCTCACTTTCTTTCTGGTGCCCAGGGCACCAACACCTGAGTGTATAAAGCCTTCCAGATAATTTCAGCCAATTTCTCCCCTAGACTTACTCCATCTGATTAAATGGCCACCCGGTCACTCAAGCGGGAGACCCGATGTTATCCCTGCTTCCGGGCTCCTGCTTAAAACCAGCCACCCACTCCAGTTCCTCCTCACCAGGTCTGGCTGCCCCTCGGAAATCTCTCTCCATTCCAGCTTCCACGGCCTGATCCAAGGTCTTCAACCCACTCAGGCCACTTGATCTCATTAGACTCTTGGGTGTCTCCCTGTTTCCCTCCAGGCCTCCCCAATCCATTTCCTTCCAGGAGGCTATAGAGGCTTTTGGAGGGTGCAGATCTGCCCATGGGCTCTCGGTCCCTGCCTCCCTCCAGTGTCCTCTCTCACGGAGGGGAAGCTCAGGCGGAGAGCTTTCGAACTTTGGGTCGCGGCTGTCCCTCGGTTAGGAGAGCTGCAGTGTTCTCCTCCGGCAGGGGGGCAGGTGGGAGCGCTTTGCTGCCCCCTGCAGCTCTGGGGCCTGCGATCCCCGCACGGGGCATTCCGTCACCCCAGGCCCACGCTCTCCAGCCCACAGCCCTCCTCTGGACGCCGCGAGTGGAAGACAGCCGGGAACTGAGAAGCCGTACTCTGGGCAGGGTGGGGGGCCTGGGGGCTGGAGTCCGAGCCCCTCCGAGAGGAGCCGCCCGGCCCCGCCCCCCGGCGCCGCCATTGGCCGCGGCGGAGCGGCTGTACCCGCAGCTCGGTGCGCTCCGCAGCTCCTCTCCGGGAAGGTCCCCACTTGACAGCTCTGGGCGACCGGAGGCGGCGCCCAGAGGCTGCCCGGGAGACCGGAGCTGGGCTGGCGGGGGCCAGGTCCCCGCGCCCTCTCGGCCGCTCACTCTCGCGGCCACTCCCTCGCAGCCACGCCGAGCGCGCACTCCCACTCCCTCTCCGCGCACGGCTGCGGGGCGCGATGGACGCGGCACTGCTCCACAGCCTGCTGGAGGTTAACTGCAGCCTGGCGCTGGCCGAAGAGCTGCTCTTGGACGGCTGGGGGCCACCCCTGGACCCCGAGGGTAGGCGGGAGGCGAGAGGTCGGAGGCTGCCCGGGCTCCTTCTCTTGCGCGCTTAGTGCGCCCCTGACCCCGCGCTCCGAGAGCCGGGCGTCCCTTGGGGCGCCCCTCTGAGCCCTACTGCGCTCTCTCGCGCCGCCAGGTCCCTACTCCTACTGCAACACGACCTTGGACCAGATCGGAACGTGCTGGCCCCGCAGCGCTGCCGGAGCCCTCGTGGAGAGGCCGTGCCCCGAGTACTTCAACGGCGTCAAGTACAACACGACCCGTGAGTGCCCCCGGCTCTCGCTGCCTGCTCTATACCTGCCTCCAGGGAAGGCGGTTTAGGGAGTAAAGAGGATTCCGGACCCAGTGGCACAAAGCAGCTGAGGGCCGTGGTACCGCAGACCGCTGGCGTTAAGGACCCCTTACAATATTGGGGGCGCGCCTTCTGCTTCTACCCCCAATACAGCGTCTAACCTCTGTAAGCCAGTGATTTGCCCACAATTCCCGTGCTCCATGCGGTGACAGCCCAAAAAGGGGAGAAGGAAATACTTCCTCCTCTTTAAGTGTAAACCTCCCTCCCTCATTGTAGGTTCCCGTTGCCTGAAGTTCCCCATTAGGGCTTCATTGTTTAGATAATGCTTCCCCTGCCCAGGAGGGGGACCTGTCCCAGGAGGGCGGATATGCTAAGTCCCAAATCCCCCAGAGTGAGTGCAGTGACCAGACCTTACTACCAGAGTGGAGAGGAGGAGGGCAGGAGGCAGGAGGGCTGGGGCGAGCGCATATTTTGTGGGAAGGACATGCAGGCGTAGGTTATGCTAAGCCAGAGGGTGCGGGTGTTGCATCTTCCCTAATCCGAGGTCCCAGGACTGACCTACTGGGCTGAGTCAGGGGCTGTGGGCAGCATTATTCCTGCGCCCCCATGATGACTGGTGTCTGAATCAGCCCCCACCCCTACCCCCACCCCACCCCCAACACCACCTCTCAAAGAGAACAACCTGTGCCTGCCTTCCTCCTAGCAAGTCACGGACTGGCTTGAGGCTCTGGGGGAAAGGGCAGCAGAGATTGCTGGAGTTACACAGCCTCCAGGTGGGGTCGTTCAGTGTGGGTTCTGGGTGTGTGCATGTGTGTAGGTGCCTGTCTGTGCCCTGTGGAACAATGGGACGGGAGCCAGGCGTGTGGTCTGCAGGAGGCTGTGGGGGCAGAAATCACTGCCCCACCTAGAACCCCCCTCACATCTCTAGCCGGACCCCAGTTGTCAAGGACGCTGAGACCCTATCTGGATTGTTTGTCTGAAGCCTCTCATCCTGGAACCATCCTTAGAAGCCATCTCAGAGTGTCTGTGTGTGAGTGGTGGCCCAGCTCCACCTCCACCACCCATACACACACACACACACACACACACAAGCTTTCAGAAGCTGAGGCTGAGGGCTTTGCCATGAGGGATGGTTAGAAGGCAAGAGAGATGCACCTGCACCTGATGCCAAGCTGCATTCCCCTGGCTGCACCAGCTGAGGGCTCTGGTGGGCCCAGGGAGCACATGCTTCCCATCCATGATTAAAACAGATCTCCCTGGAAGGAAGTAAGGTCCTCAAGCTAGGAAGTGTGCAAGCAGAAGGAATGATTTCCCTGTACCTTCCTATTCCTGACCTTATAAAACTGTATTTTTAGGATTCCATGAGCTGTGTGGGGTGGGGCAATGGAGATCAGCGTGCCTGATTCAGACTGGGCCCGGAGATTCAGGGCCATCCAGGGTAAAGTGGGGTGATGGAGCATCTCAGCCCACAGCCTGTGAACCTCAGGGAGCTCTGCTTTGGTTCTTACCCCAGCCTGGGCTATGCCTTGTTGTCCCCAACCAGCCTGGAGGCCCCCCTTTCCCAGGGCAGGGCCTGGGTCTCTTCTTCATAGCGGAACTGAGTACAGTAATATTCAGTCAATTTGTGGAACACCCACTATGTGCCAGCCACTGCACGGGCACTGTATTGAGACTCTCACTCACAATTGCAACAGACAAAAAGAACAGAATGATGAATGTGCTGATTAGGGGGGAAGCACAAGGTCTATGGAATTGGGGTGGGGGTGGGTGATAAGGAAGACTTCCCAAAGGTGCTGCAGACAGCACATATCAGGCCATTCATATTAATTAAGTCTAATGAGAAGCTGATAAAATGTTGGCGCACCACCCAGGCTGGTAAAAGTAGGGCCAGTTAGCCCCTGGTATCTAATGAACAATTTTCTTCATTTAGACCGAAGTGCTCCCGGCACTGCAACTGCTGGAGAATGAGAGGAGCTGATGGAGGGTGGGGAGCACTTACCATTAACCAGCACCTATGAGGTCAGCCTAGGTGGGAAGAGCAAAGGCTGCTAATGGCTGTGGAAATGCATGATTGATTTCCGTCCTCCCCTTTCTTCACATCAGTGCTGCTTCCTTCTTCTCTGTTTGCCTTTTCCATGGGATCCTTCCTTTAAAAAGAATGACAGAGGAAGAAAACTCCATGAGAAGCCTAGGGGAAGAACAGGAGCGTTCAGGCTCTACTTCCTGCCCCAATTTTGTTATGCTATAGCCAAACCCCCACTGAAGCCTCATTCCTTAGCGAGCAGGAATCGCCCGGGTGGGGATAGCAGTTTAGATATTAGTCTCCGCAATTTTTCAACTCAACTGAGCACACAGAATCTGCCACAAAGCTATCAAGTGTTGATCATTTTCCAGGTGCCAGCTACTATTGAGAGAGCTTTGTATCCATATCTCAGGCATCCATAATCCCACTCACCCACACTCCCTCTGTGATACACACTGCTTTTATGCCCATATGGCAGACAAGAACACTGAGTCTCAGACACATGAAGTAACTTGTTCAAAGTCCTAATCAGCTCCTGTGCACCAGTGCAGGCAGGTGAATCCACAGCCCTCACTATTAACCATGGAGCAGTACTGCCTCCATAAGAGGCATTCGGTTTGTGAGGAGAGCTTAGAGATTTGGAAAGAAGAGTCATACCTCCGGCCTGGAGGATCAGGGAGGACTTAGCCCTCTGAGCTAGACTTCTGGGGACAGGTTGGGTTTTTTTGTTTTTGTTTTTGTTTTTTGTTTTTGTTTTTGTTTTTTTGAGACGGAGTCTTGCTCTGTAGCCCGGGCTGGAGTGCAGGTTGGGTTTTAGCAGGTGAGTGTGTAATAGGCACAGGAGAGGCCCTCTAGGCTGAGGGGACTGGGCAAAGCGTGGAGAGAGGCCGGGCTTTGTGCCTTGGGGGCAGTGAGTGTTGTATGGAGAACAGGGAGTAGGAGAAACAATGAGGCTGGGGAGGAGCATGGAGGTCAGGTGATGCAGGCCATTCTACAGGGCTTCACCATCTGGAGAGGGAGCCTGGGTGAGCTTGTGAGCAGGGGAGCTCAGCTTTGGGAGCACACTGTCCTCTGGAGGGAAAGGAGAGGTAAGGGGACTTCTGCACAGAGCCAGGTAGACTACAGGTTGTGGGAGCAAATGAGGATGAAGACGCCAGCAATCTTGGGCATTTGAAATTGACAAGATATGGTGAGAAACAGCAAGGTAAAGCGTTGGGCACACAAGAAACAGCTGAGCACAGTTGGGGATGTGTTGGCTTTGAGGAGCTGGAGGGATACCTGAGCGGAGATGTCCAGAAAGCAGCCGGCTGGGTTGGGAAAAGCTCAAGAGAGTGCCAAGAGTGGAGATAAGGCATTTAGAAGTCCTTAGGATGTGGGGTTAGCAAATAGCTACAGTGTGTGAGTTTGGGAGGCTGGGTCAGAGCCTTGAGCCATCTTACCCAGAGCTATTTCCAGATGCAGCAGGACCAAGGGAAGGGAAGGGACTAGTGCATGGCCACACATGCTAGTCAGTGGCAGAGCCAAGTTAAGCACAAGAGTCTCCTCGGGTGTTCTCTACACAACCTGTGCTGGCGCTTCAGTGGCTGAGCTTCCACGTGTTTATACTGTGGTTTAACTCATTTAATCCTTGCACCATCCAGTGACAGAGACATAGCATTATCCTCATTTTACACATGGGAAAAATGAGGTGTGGAGCAATTAAGTCACTTATAACAGAACAAGGATTCAAACCCAGGTTCTGCTGCCTCTCAAAAAGCAACTCTGCTAGGTTAAGCAGAGAAGAAATTTTTAAAAAATATATTGGGGAGCTTATGGAATCCAGAGTGGGCTAGAGAACCAGATTTGGGGCCCCAAGCCAAGAACACAGGGCGGAGCTAGCCCAGTGAGGGGACCTCCCTCTCCCTGAAAGGCCCTGCCAACACCACCAGCCCTGGCCACTAGGTGGGACACAGCCCTGCTACCACCACTGCCACCACTACCAACACTACTCTAGAGTTTTTTTTTTTTTTTTTTTTTTTTTGAGACAAGATCTCAATCTACTACCCAGGCTGGAGTCCAGTGGCATGATCAAGGATCACTGCAATCTCACACTCCTGTGCCCAGGTGATCCTCCTGCCTCAGCCTCCCAAGTAGCTGAGACTACAGGCACATGCCACCACACCTGGCTAATTTTAAAATTTTTTGTAGAGGTGGATCTTGCCATTTTGCCAGAGCTGGTCTTCAACTCCTGGACTCAAGCGATCCTCCTGTCTCTGGCTCCCAAAGTGCTGGGAGAATAGGCGTGAGCCGCTGCACCTGGCCAACCTGGAGTCTTAAGCTTCCTGCAGTTATCTCTGGAGAGGCTTTCTCCCTGTCTCCATCTGGGGCCCCCCAGTTCACTAATTCCCTCAGGTAGGTGCATCTGATGATTGGGGGAGTATGTGGAGCCCCAGGTCCCATGCCAAAGCTCTGGCTACAAGGGAGCCTGGAAAGTAAGGATCTGGCATTTTAGCTCTAGGTGGGGAGGTAGCCTCGGTCTTCCCCCAGGATTCCTCGAGCCCAGGTTCAAATCCTGGGTGGCTAGAAACAATCCTAAATGTCCATATTCAATTTAATCGGGGCAAGTCTTATCCCTTTTGTGGGCCTCAGTCTCCCTATCTGTATTCAGAAAGGAGGTGGATTAGCATGGAAGTGGTTTGGCCAGAAGTGGGGCACTTATATCCCATTTTCTTCTCACCTCTCCCCGTTCCACATGGACTTCTCTGAGCCCATCTCTGTGCACATCTCTGTCTCTGTGTCTCTCTCGTTGTCTCCCTGTTTCTGTTTTTCTCTATGTGTGATTCTGTTTCTGTGTGTATGTTTCTATGTCCGTCTCAGTTTCTCTCTTTTTTTTTTTACCTCTCTCTCTCTTTCTCTCTCTTTCTCCTTCTCCATCTCTCCTTACTGCCTTCTCCGTCCCCCGGCTCCA